GGGGGGGGGGGGGGGAGCTCGTATCACTGGACCCGACCCGCGCGCCCCGCCCGCCGGCCCAAGGCCGCCGACGAGGAGAACGTCGGGCTCGTGTACGGGTTGCTCACCTCCGCCTCCAACCTGGGCGGCTCCCTCTCTCCCCTCCTCTCCAACCAGCTCTTCGGCCGCTTCGAGCCGAGCCTCAGCGACTCTGCAAACTTCATCGAGGACGCCCCCTCCTTCCGCGCCCTCGTCTTCTCCTCCTTCGTGCTGGGCTACGTCTTCTCGCTCCTCAGCCTTTGCGCCCTGCCGCTGCTGCCTGCGCAAAAGGCGGACGCCCAGGCCCGCAAGCGCGCCTGGTCGAGCAGCACGGCCGTCGGGTGGCTCTCGGCCGGCTGCTTCGGCGCCGCGTTTTGCTACGGGCTGACGCTCTCGGTCCTGACTCTCTTCCCGAGGACCGCGTGCCTCGAGCTTGTCGGCGGCAGCGGGTGCGTTCATGATTGATGTGGTACCAAAAGTAAAGCCGTATTGAAGAATTGACGCGCGTAGCCGTCCGCGCGTGTCCTTGTGTGTGGCTTTGCGCCTGAGAGGCACAGAGAGAGAAAAGTTTTCGGCGTTTAGCCAACAAGCAACAACGGTCCGAGAGAGATGTCAGAACTCAGATGTCTCAGATCGCGGCGTGTCGCGACACTGCGAGGTCGAGAGCGAGTCCTACGAACCAATCCCCGCCGCCGCTCCGAACGCGGCCTCGAACTCCTCGCGGTCGCGTTTGCGCGCCGGGCCGTCGGGGGCGCACGCCCTCTCCGAGGAAACCTTGAGCCACCACACGACGATGCGGCGCGCCCGGAAGGTATCGCGCCAAGCGCGCATCACGTAGTGCCAGGACAGCAGCCGCCGGGTCTCGAAGCTGGAGGCGAGTTCCTTGCCAAACTCCCCGTCTTCGTGCTGAGGGTAGACTCCGTGACTGCCAAAGCGGATTTGGTCGAGGCCGGTCGAGGAAGTGTCAAGCGTCTGATAGGGGTGCGGTATGTGCGGCGGGAGCGAGGGGAGCGCGCGAAACGGGCTCGGTAGCGGAAAGCCGTCCTCAACCAGTAGCGCCCGGACGAGTCTCGTGTCGTGCAGGCCAGCGAGGTGCATGAGCGGCGTGTAGTCGGCGGTCGCGCGCATGAAGCGATCTAGCGAGCGCGCGAGGGGATCCTCATCGTCCGCCAGAACCTCCTCGTCGCCGGGCTGCCTGCCACCGAGCGCGCAGAGCAGGCGCACGCTGTCCCACGTGCGCGAGCTGCCTCCGCGGGGACCGTTCCGCAACAGGTACTGCAGCGCCGTCGACCCATCCGCATTGGTTGCGAGCAGGTCAGCGCCCTCTCGAACCAACGCTCGAACCGCAGCCTCCTGCTCCTCCTTCACTTCCTGCTGCCCACTCGACGATGGGATGCAGGCAAACGTGAGCGGTGTGCACTGATACCCACCTCTATTTGAGACGCGGTCGGCGTCAGCTCCAGCCTTCAGCAGCTGCGCGATCACGGATGCATTCTTCACGACAGACGAACAAGCGCAAGACAGCGCCGTGCTGCCGAGAGGATCACACTCAATGTCTGGATCAGCCTGCGCCCGAAGGAGCAGCTTCACGCACGCCGAGCTCCCCGCTCCGACAGCAGCTCCAAGGGGGGTCTGAGGCCAATTCGTGCGCAATGGCAGCGCATTGCAGTCTGTATGCCGCAGGAGCGTCTTTGCCTGAGCCACGTCGCCATTCGCGCACGCCGCGACGAGCGACTCCAGACGCGTCGGCACCGCCTCCGCCGCCGCCGCCGCCTCCGCCTCCGCCTCCGCCTGACGGCGCCGCGCCTCGAAAGCTGCCTCCGCAGGCGTCAACGACATATGCAGGCGCGGGAAGGTTCAAATGGTGAGAAGAGAACGGAAAACCTACGGGTTTGTAAGAACATCACTGAGAGAGAACCGTGCCATCCTCGATCGCCGTGCTAAGCTCGCTTCCGAGCTCTCACGCCGCGCGTAGGGCCCCTAGGGGCCTAGAGAACACAACCCCCTCTCTCTTTTCTCCCAGTAAGCTAAAAGTACGTACACTGAAAAAGCACGCTTCTTAATCTCTTGCTTGTTGTCTTTTTCTCTTTTCGGTGTCGACCCAGGGTACACGGTTCTTTTCTTCACCTTCCTTTCCGAAGAAACTTAGAAAAATGTTCGTAAGAGCTACATAAAAAAAATAAAAAAATAAACAGCAGAGTTTCTTTGCACGTGCACCGCGAAACAGCTCTCGAGTCATGAAGTTGCGTTCCCTCGCCCTCACCCACCTCCTCCTCCTCTCCGCGTCCGCGTCCGCCTCTGCGATCACCTGCCGGCGGCGGCCTGCGGCGCTGCTCGCCGCGAACGATGCAAAGGAGCGGCTGGGCTCGTGGTTCTCGTCGCGCGGAGCGCTTCTCTCGCAGGTGCAGGCGGGCGGTGCTGCTGCCGACCCGCAGCGCAAGCAGGCCGGCGAGCTGATGAAGAAGCGCGGCGTGGCCAACGCGGAGAAGGCGGCGAGTTTGCTCCGCGAGTCTCTCCGGCGGGACCCTGAGAACGCCGCGATCAAGCTGGAGCTGGCCGACGCGCTCAACATGGTCACTCGCATCAAGACGAACGCGAACAGCCTCGTCATCGAGGGCACCCAGGACTCGCCCGCCTTCAAGAAGATCTGGCGCACGCTCGGCGGCGAGGCGCTGCCTCTCGCGCTCGACGCGCGCAAGGCCTTCCCGGGCTCGGTCAAGGCGCTGTCGGTGTACGCGGACGCCTTCATGTTCTCCTCGTCCGCCAAGGGGATCGTCAAGCAGGCGCTCACCGGCGTGGGCAAGAAGTACGTCGCGCTCGCCAAGGAGCTCTACGCGCACCCAGAGTGGGACGGAGCCGTCGGCTGCGCCTTCCTCGGCGGCTTCTACGCGGTGGCGCCGTGGCCGATCGGCTCCAAGGGCAAGGCGGCCAAGTACCTCGACGAGGGCGCGCGGCGGGCGCCGACGCGGCGCAACCTCTACTACGTCGGCGTCGTCTCGTACCAGGCGGGCGACTACCGCAAGGCCGCCGACCACTTCCAGCGCGCCATCGCGACGCCCGTCTCGAGGGAGCCGAGCTCGACCGAGGCCGACATCGCCGACTTCCTCCTCGAGCGGGCGAGGCGCGGGCTCAAGGCGGCGCAGGAGGCGATCGCCGCCGAGCCGTGACGGAGCAGAGGCCCACACCGTGGGCCTCGTGTCGTTCCGCTCATGAGACCCATGGCCATGCGTGAGATGCATGCAAGTTCAGTTATTGCAATAGCCCCAGTTTTTTCTTTTTCTCGCCAGTGCGCGCCAGTCTCGTGCCCAGTGTTGTGAAGGCTCAAATTCTTTTTCTAAAGAAAGAAAGAAAACAGACCAGGCAAGGGAGGGACGGGGGGACGGCACGCCCGCCACCACACAGGGATGTTCTCGTGTCGTGCGCGGAGTGCGAGTGGGTTAAATTCTTTGCTGATCTCAAATTCTTTTCTCTGCCCAAGCCGCGTGAGGGAGGGCGCCTGGATCTAAATTTAGTGCGGTGTGAAGTGTTTATCTACTGCATCTTTAGCGCACTTTAGCGCAAATTTAGCGCGAATTTAGCGCAACTTTAGTGCAAATTTAGCGCAAATTTAGCGCAAATTTAGTGCGACTTTACATCCAGATTTAGCGAGGTTTAGTGCGTCTTTAGTCCAGCCGCGCAGTAGGATCCAGCCGCAGCCCCTCGCTGGGCCTCCCTCCCCCTGTCCCCCTGCAGTCCCCTGCCCACTCGCAAAAGTTCCCCGTCCCGTCCCCAACCGAACGAAGAAAACCCGGTGTATTTGCCATTGCACTTAGGAGGAGGTGCATGCCTGGGGCTGGATCCAACATGCTACGAGTACACGCGTATGTAAAGCTGCTTGCGGTGACTACATGGATCATGGCCATTTGGCCGTTTCTGTCATCGTGGTCTGGATCCTTCATCCTTTGGTTCAACATTGGTTTTGAAATTCCAACACCGACCCTCACCTCTACTCTATTACAGCTGGTGGTCACGGGCACAGCATGGGTTGTGCGGTCGGAGGTGGTGCTTGCGGTGGCGCATTCAACTGTGCTGGTCCTCCTCTCGGGAATCGGTGCTGTGCCTGTGCTCAGTCGGGAGATCTTGCTCTGGAGGGCGGCATATCTAGCCTCACTGGGAGCCTGCCTTTGGGTCATGAGGGCAGGGGCCAGGCATCTCCTGTGGTGCATTCTTGGCAGCCAAGGAGCAAAGCACGCGGCCCTGGCTAGCTGTGGTGTGGCCGGGAAGCCGTGCTAAAGGTGCGTGCCCGCACTAAAGATGCGGGACCCACACTAAATGTACTGCAGCTGCCCGCACCTAAAGTGAACTAAATGTGGCGCTAAATTGGAGATAAAACACACTAAATATGTGCTAAATATGTGCTAAATTTGCACTAAATTTGCACTAAATTTGCGTTAAAGTCGCACTATATACGCACTCGAACACGCACTAAATAGCGCACTAAACTATCACTAAAGTTCATTCACACGCACTAAATTTAGACCCAGGCAGGAGCCTTCGCCAGGTCGTGTGAAGAGCACTGATGCCGCAGTGAGTGAGTGTTCCCGGGCCCTGCGGGGAACTAAGTCGGCGCAAGTTAGTCTGTGAGCTGGACGAGGGCTAGTGGTGCGCCGTGGCGGATCAAGTGGTGAAGTGCTCCCGGGAGTCGTGGTCGGAGGCCGGGACACTACGCGCACTAACTTAGTGCGCGGAAGTGAGTGCCTCCGGCCGGCCGGGGGGGAGTGGTCCAGCGGGCCGCTCGCAGTGCCCTTCGCCGGCGGACGGAGAGGTGGGCTCGGCTACCACGCGCACTAAGTTAGTGCGCGTAGTGAGTGGGCCGCCGGCGAGCGGGCTAGTGGGTGAGTGCCTCCTGCCACCCCGCGCACTAAGATAGTGCGCGTAGTGAGTGGGCCGCCGGCGAGCGGGCTAGTGGGTGAGTGAGTGCCTCCTGCCACCCCGCGCACTAAGATAGTGCGCGTAGTGAGTGGGCCGCCTTCTAGTGGTCGGCGAGGCCGTGGCCAGTGCCCCGGCCCTGCGGCGCCGCCTAGTGAGTGAGTGCTCGCCGACCCTCCCCACACTAAGTCGGCATCTGTGCGGTGTTTTTTAGTTGGCGAAGGCTCCTGACCCAGGCGCCCTCCCGTGAGCAACTTGAAGCGTCTCTGCCCGTCTCTGCCCGTCTCTCCGACGATGGCAGACGCGGAGACGATGGCAGACGCGGAGACGCCGCGGCCCCGCAAGCGCGCGGTGGAGTGGCTGCTTGAGGGCGAGTCGGTCAGGACGAATCGGCACCTCGCCCGATTCGCCGCCGCTCCATATCTGCCTCGCCTGCTCGCCGATCCCGCTCTGTCGGCGCTGCTTTCGCGCTCAAGCCGATCTCTTCGGAAGGAGATAATCGAGGCTTATGGGATGTTGGAGCAGGTCGAGGCGACGTTGCGTGGCGCGGCTCCCGCCGCCATCGTCGACCTCTGCTGCGGAAGCGGCTTCCTCTCGCTCGCGCTCGCCAACGAGTTCCCGGCCGCCGCCGTGCTCATGTTTGACCTCGACACGCGGATCAGGGTGCGGCACGACGCGTCCCACCCCAACCTCCGCTTCGAAGTGGCCGACATCATGGCCGATGGCTTTGGCGCGCGGCTCGGCGCTCTGCTGCGCGAGGCGGGCGGCCAGCGCGGCGGCGGCCCGTGCGTGGCAGTGGGGATGCACCTCTGCGGTGCGCTATCTCCGCGCGCCATCAGTTTGTTTGCCGCCGAGCCGGCGCTGGACTCGCTCCTGCTCGCGCCCTGCTGCCTCGACAAGCGCTTCGACGCCGCGCTCAAGGCGACGGCGAGGCAGCTCGGCCGAGATGCTTTCGAATGCAAAGTCGATCAGCTTCGAGAGGCGCTCGAGGCGCTGCCTCGGGTCGAGGTGCGCGTCGCCCGCGACGCGTCCTTCCGCACGAACCGCTCTGCGGCGGAGGGAGGGGACGGCTGCAAGAACGCGATGATTGTTGGGCAACGGCGCGCCGCGAGCGGCCCCGACGCTCCACTTTGCTGCCTTGTGTGCGAGTCCGAGTGAGTTGTGTGTACGTGTCTACTAGCAGCGCCTTCTATGCTTAAGCAGCGTTTCCGGCAGAATATAGCAGGACGAGGCCGTCCGCTCGAGTCCGCGCACCGCGGCCGAGCAGAAGTTTACGTTCTACTTTTCTCTCGAGACTTTTCTTTTTTGACCGCGCATGACATAAGGCTTAAGGGTGGCGTCAGGGCTCTGCCCGCAAGCCGCAAGGCGCCCGCGTCGCCGCGACGCCCCCCCGGTACCATTGACTAATCCCGGAATCACACCCACACGACCAAATAGCGAAAATCCGAATTAGCAATTACCGTGCTAAAAACCACGGAATCTGGGACCGAAGAACGTCGGTTCAAGTTTTTGGTATAAACGCTGAACATGGGCAACGGGCGTTTCCTTTTTTTACGGTTGGACGCACGAAATGATCGCGGACGCGGAAAAGCGGGACTGGGCGACCGCATCGCGACATCGGGGGGTTCACCATATGCCGAGCCTGCTCGGCCTGCCATGTGCGCGCGCGCCTCGCCCGAGCGCAGCCACCTGCGGACCTGGCCAGCCTGTTCCTGGGGCTCGTGCCCAGCCTCTCCTTCCGCTGCCGCCGGCCTCGCAGTCCCGCCTGCCATCACGCTGCAGAGCCTGCGTAGACGCCACAGACGCCAATTCTGCAGCCCACAGCCCAGGCAACTGAGGGCGAGGGCCAGCAGTATGACGACGACGACATCTCACACCCCGCGCTGGCCAGCGCCATCAGCCCCTCATGGCCCCGCCCAACCTCCCTTCGCCTCGCCTCCAGTGCCTCCAATCAAGTCGCACCTCTCTTCTTCAGCGAATGCAGCGGCAGCACCACGTCAGAGGCCGGGCCGACTGGCGGACCTGCATGCCCAGCCATGCCCCCCACTCCCCACCCGCTTGGATCGATCAGCTCCACCAGCTCCACCACCGTGTGTCGTGTCGTGAAGCATGAGATAGACATAGAAAGCATGAACCATCGAAAGGTCTCTGGTCTCCAAAAAGAACTCTCGGCTGTCGCCGCCGCGCGCGCGCCCAAGCCCCGCCCCTTTTGCTTTTGCGCAGCAACACCTAAATTTCATGGCCCTCCAAATTCGGGTCGGAGCGCAGCGGAGTGGGCCCCGAGTTTGAAAAGGGCGACGGAGATTCTAGCTAGCCTCCAACAACGCCCCCCCGGCGCAGAGGGGCCCCCGGAGGGATGCTCAACCGCTCCACGCCACGCCGTTTCGGCGGTCCGGGTCGCTGAAATTCTTTTTGTGGTAATAGGGGAATTCTTTTTCTCGTTTCTCAACGCGTTGAGTGTGCGCCTGTGCCTCGTCCGCGATGGACTTCGACCGGCACCTCGCCGCGCTCCGCGCCGAGCGCGAGCGACTCGAGCGCGAGAGCGGCCTGCCGCCCTTTGTTCCGCGCAGCGACGAGGGCATGCGTGGGCCGCCGCCGCCGCCGAGCGTCCCTCCGCCACCACCGCTGCCCACGGCCAGCAGCAGCGATGCAGAGCTGCTGGGAGCGATTGCTCGGATGAAGGCGGAGCACGCGGACAACGTGCGCCGCATCGGCCAGCTCTCCCACTCGCGCGGGCACGAGTCGGCCTTTACCGTGCCGCCGCGCGACCCGCCGATGCCTGGCCTCAGCGGCAGCGGATTAGAGGCGTTCGCGCTCGACCCGGCCGGACTGGGCGCTTTCGCCGACCCGAGCTTCGCGGCGCGCTCGGGCGCCCGCATGGCGCTCGGCGAGTACGACTACGAGGGCCGCGACCTTAGCTTTCGTGACCAGGCCCTCGCGGGCTCCGCGTCGCACCGGCGGTCCGCCTCGCCCGGCATGCGACCCGCATCTCCGGGCAACGGCTCGCGCGGCGTGGGGTGGTCGGCGGCGTATCGGTCGGCGGCGAGCCCGCTGCGCGCTTCGGCCAGCCGACCCTCCTTTGACCGCCCGCTCGCCTCTTCTCGGCCGCCGCAGCAGCCGCCGCCGCCGCCTCCTCCTCCTCCTCCACCGCCGCCTCCTCCGCAGACGAGCCGACCTCCGTTGAGCCAGCGGCAGTCGAGACCGGCCTCCGCCCGCGCGCGGTCGGCGCCGCGCGCTCGCGCGCCGCCGCGGATGCGCGCCGCCGAGACGGCCGCGGCTGCGCGCGGCGTCGCGGGAGCCGCGGGAGGCGCGGGAGCCGGGCCGGTGGTGTCCATCTCCCAGCCGAGTGTGCTCCGCCGCTCCGCCGACGAGGAGGCGGCCGAGGCGGCGGCGGCGGCGGCGGTGGCGCGCTCGCGCGCCCTGCCGCGCCCGCGCACCGCGCCGCACGTCTCGGCCTCCTCCTTCCGCCGCGCCGGCTCTGCCGGCCGGCTGGGCAGGCCGCCGCAGGCTGGGCGTGCGGCAGGCGCCGGAGGGGCGGAGGGAGGGGCGCGGGGCGGAGCGAGGGGAGGGCTCGGCTCGAGAAGCTCGAGCGGCGAGCTGGCCGCGGCGGGGGGGATGCGCGAGTCCGCCGACGGCGCCGTCGGGCCGAGGCCTGCTTCCGCCGCCGCGCCGCTGCGGTCGGGCAGCGCGCCCTCCCTGCGGCCGAGCACGCCCAAGCCGCCGCCGCCCTTCTCCTTCTCCAAGGGCGGGCTGCCTCTCGAGAGGCCGCGCACCGCCAGCGGCGCAGAGGGCGGTGCGAGGACGCACGTCGCCCGGCCGGTGCCTGCGGCGGTCAAGGAGAGGAGGTGGCAGGCGATGCAAGAGCGCGAGAGGCAGCGCAAGGAGCGGCTCCGCGAGCAGGCGCCACGCCGGCACAGCCTCGGCCAGCCCTCGTCTTGGCTGGCCCTCACCTCGGCCAGCCCTCACCTCGGCCAGCCCTCACCTCGGCCAGCCCTCACCTCGGCCAGCCCTCACCTCGGCCAGCCCTCGCCTCGGCCAGCCCTCGCCTCCGCAACCCTCGCCTCTGCAACCCTCGCCTCCGCAACCCTCGCCTCCGCAACCCTCGCCTCCGCAACCAGGCCCGCGTGCTCAAGGGCCAGTCGAGGCTGCCGCCACGCATGGAGGAGCGGGCCCGCGAGGAGCGTGCCCTCCCCACATCTCCCCATATCTCCCCATATCTCCCCATATCTCCCCACGCATGGAGGAGCGGGCCCGCGAGGAGCGTGCCCGCCGGGAGCGGGAGGCATGCGCCGAAGCGCCCCTCCGCCGCACGCCCTCTCTTGCCTTGTCCGCAGGAGGAGGCCAAGGAGCGGGAGGCGGCGGCGCAGCGGGCGGCGTCCGCGGCCGAAAGCGAGGCGGCGAGCGCGGCGGCGGCCTTCCGGATGCGTCCCATCCCGGCCGAGGTGCGGATGCCGATGTGGGAGCAGATGCAGCTTGAGGAGGCTGGCCGCGCGGAGCGGATCTCGCGCGAGGCGGCCAGGCTGGCGCGCCGCTCCAAGCTGCCGCCTCGGATGCAGGAGGAGGCCGAGTCGCGCTCGCGGGAGAGGCGAGGGGGAGATCCTCCGAGATCCTCCGAGATCCTCCGAGAATCTCTGAGATTTTAGAATCTCCGAGATTCTCCGGCTCCGAGCTGTCCCGCTCGCGATAGAGGCGCCCGCGGCGAGGAGAGAAAGAGGGAAGGCACGCGCCACGGACACGTCCGGGACATGCGCGACACGCCTCCCGCAGGCGCGCGCGCGAGGAGCGAGAGCGCATCAAGGCCGATGCCGAGAAGGACCTCACCTTCACGCCGATGATCCGGCCTCTCCCCGCCTCCACCTCCAAGCCGGCCGGCTTCCGGCCAAAGCCGCCCAAGCCGCCGCCGCCGCCGCAGCCATTCGAGCTCCTCACCGACGCGATCAAGGACCCGGGCGGGTGCTGCTCACACCTAGATGCGGCCCACACGCCCCTCGCACCCACGCCGCTCGGAGGCAGTCGATTCGGCCGTATGCACTGTTGTCAGCCTTGCCGGTGTGCGCCATGCAAGACGCCGTGATCGCTCCCTCACTTGCCCCCTGCTGAGTCTGCCAGGAAGGGCACGCTGCCTGCGCCTGCCGAGAAGGAGCGGGTGCTGCGCGACATGGCGAGCTGAGCCGAGAGGCGCCGAGAGGCGCCGAGAGGCGCCGAGGTGTTGCCCAACCCCCCCTTCTGACAGGCACGCGACGAGCTCGTGCTGCCTGAGCGGCGCTGGCCGTACTTGTCCACCCGCGCGCCGGTGCAGCCAAAAGCGCCGCCTCCGGCGGTGGCGGTGCCGCCGCCGCCCACGACGACGTCGACGGAGCTGCGGCGGGCGGCGCTCGAGATGGATAACCTAAAGAGGCGACCGGTGAAACCGGGGGGGGGGGGGGGGGTTGCGGCGGTGTCGGTGTGTGCGGGCGGCCCTCCCGAGGCGCCCCCTCGCCGCCGCAGGCAAATCGAGGAGGAGCGCACGGCGCAGGCGGAGGCGAGGCGGCGCGAGGAGGCCAAGGAGGCCACCAAGAAGGTTGCGGGCGCGCTCGACCTGCCGTCCGCACGGGACAAGGCGCAGCGCGAGCGCGCGGGGAGGCGGGACCCGCGACACGTGCTCGACGCGCACACACGCCCCCCCGTAGGCGCGGCGCGAGCGCGAGGAGGCGGCGGCGCGTAGGCGCATCCCGCCGCTCGAGCCCCCCCCCCCCCACACACACACACACCCTCCCTCCACGCGCGGCGCTGGATGCACCCCTCGGCCGCGCGAGTAGGCGCGCTTTCCAGAGGGAGCAGGCTGAGAAGGACGCGGCGCACCGCACCGCGCTCGGCGACATGTATGCGCGGGTGGCGCAGCGGCCTTTTTTGTTCCAGCAGCAGGGCATCGACGCAAAGGTGAGCCCGAGGACGCGGCGGGCTTGCAACGAGTGTGCGTGACTCTCTGAGTCGCCCACTGATTGAGCGTAGGTGTTCGAGGAGACGCAGGCTGCCTACGACAAGTTTGAGTCGGCGCTCAAGAAGCAAGGCCTCTCCGACCTGCTCGACTTGCCGCGATGAGCCTCGCGGTCTTGCGGCCGCTCTCGGTTGCCGCTCCTCTCGAGAGTGATTTTCCTCCACAGCATGATTTGTTGAGATTTCGCGATGAACTAGCCGTGCCGCACACCACCCATGTAAAATCGGATCCGCTGCGCCGGGGGGCGGGGCCAGTGTCAACCGTAGTCAAACGCTTGTGTTCTTCACTCGAGTCCAACTCGTGGTCTCTTTTTGGCGGGGATGCATGTGCAAACTGTAATAACGTACATTCGTTAGTTGGAGGTTGGGTAGTACGGCTTTACGCTTTAGGGGAGGGCTCCAAGTCCAACTGTCTAAGACGTAAGAGTAGCGAGTATTTCGCTAGAGTTTTCGGGATAAATGATAAATCATATTTTCGTCGTTTTTTGACGCACATGCAATTTGGTCGCACAGGACACGCGAAAGGAAACGCTAAGTCGGAAGAGCTTGTAGAGAGAGACATTAGTGACTCGGGAGTACTTTAAGGTCATTCACGGGTGTCCGCGGCCCACTGTGCCCGCTGGTAGGACAGTGACCGCCGCAAACCCTGTGGTCAGCTCCATATGATCTCGGATATTTTTTGTAGGCACCGGAACGCCAAAAAGCTAGTATGTGTTCGAGTGAAAAGTAATCCGAGCAAACCCGCGGCCGCAGTGAAGGGGAATCTGGAGAATCTGGGAATCTGCTCACCACGGATCCCCACCTCATCGAAAAACTTTTCACTCCAAGACATACTAGTTTTTTAAGGTGCTCTACAACCTAGGCACAAAAGATATGGCATTGCCGGCCATTTAGGATTCCTAGACGGTCACTGAGTACGCCAAAATCCCCACTGGGCCGGGAGCAACCTTAACGGAGATCCACCAAGTGATCGCGAGTGATGACGCGAAGCAGAAACTAGCGCAGACGAGAGCAGGGCAGCGCCAGCGGACCCGGGGACGGGGGAGTCGGAGCAGACGGCATCGGCCGCCGAGGCGCGAGGGAACGTTGGGAAGACAAGAGGCGCGACCGCGAGGAGGGCGGCGACCTCAACCCCGACGCTACTCCATGGAGGACCCGTCGCGCCAGCCTCGCCAGCGACGTCTATAGGGCAGTGCAGACGACGGGGAAGAGTTGGAGCGCAGACGCGCAGGGCGAGACGAGGGAGGCAAGGAGCAGGACGTTTGCGGAGATCAGCAGGAGGATGTACGAAGAGATTAGGAGCAGCAGGGACCCAAAGGACAACGTGGAAGACGGCTAGTGCTAGTCCCCCCGTCGGGAGGACGAGACCCCGGCTAAAGTAGCCGCCGACCACGCGACCACCGACCACCCCCCACACAAAGAACCCTGCAGCTTCACAAAGATCGGCACGGGCGGGGACCTGTTCCCTTTTACTGACGTACCCAAATCCCATCCCATACGAGGTGTGCGTTTTTATTTGTTTATTTATTTGGTGCGAAAAATGGGGGGCAAAAACGGGGCAAAAACTGTACACACGTGTGACCGCCGACGATCACTGTACGTACGTACTTTTAGCTTACCGTACTGGGAGAGAAGGGAGAGGGGGTTGTGTTCTCTAGGCCCCTAAGGGCCCTACGCGCGCTCTCTCTCTCACTGTACAATGGGCTCCAGGCACTTTGGAGCTCAAATCCGCGGCCGCACATCCACCACCTCATACGCGAGCCCCTCGACCGTCACCGTCTCGACGTCGCCGGTCGGCTGCAGGAAGGTCAGCGGCGGGAAGAGGAACTCCGCCTCTCCGGGGAAGGCGGAGAGAAACGAGATGTCCGGCCCGCGCTCGTAGAAACTCTCGGTGATGAGCCGCAGCAGCACCGCCTTGACGCTCGCCGAGTAGCGCATCGCGACGGAGAGATCCGACGTTGTGCTCATCGGAGCGAGCTCGGTGCCGCCCTGCTCCATGAAGCTGGCCGGCGCCGTGACGTCCTTCATGCCGCGGTACAGCTCGACGCGGCGAAGCGGCGACTCTCGCGAGTGGTCCGCCTCGACCGCCCGCAGCTTGCCGAGCGCGTCGCGGATCAGCGCGACTGTCACCGGCAGTGGGTGGGCCTCGCCCCGCTCGTGGCGCTCCTTGTCGCGCAGCGGGGTGTTGATCGAGCGGAAGGCCTGAGACGGCGAGGGGGCGTAAGTGGGTGAGAGAGCGGAGCTGAGAGAGTTGTGTACCAGCGGAAGCAGGGGCTTCGCCTGCGTCGTGTAGAGGCGAAGAGCAACCACGTGCGCCTCGGTCAGGTCGGCGTGCTGAGCGCTCGGGTGGGCTACGAAGTCGGCCAACCGCATCCCGCGCACCACGCCGCTGCCGTCGGCGACGGTGCGGCAAGCCAGCACCCTGCCACGCTCGTCGCAGTCGCGCTTTAGCCCGCCCTGGTACATGAGATCGCTCGAGCCCGCCTCGGCGTGCAGGATGTAGTCCAGACACTCGCGGTCGGCGTCGGTGCCACCAGCGGTCACCTCCCGCACGATGGCGGCGGTGCCCTCGAGCAGCCCCGTAAGGACCGCGTCTCTTGACACGCGCATGTAGTGCTCGATGCCCAGCGCAGCCTGAGCTGGCCTCCCAAACACCAGCTGTCTTGGCTCCGTTGCGAAGCGGTTCTCCTCGGTGGCGGTGTGGAGCACTCGTAAAGCGTCGAGGCCGCCGGCCAGCGAGGCCACGGCCTTGATCATCAGGGCGTGGATCACGCTCCGCTCTGGCAGCGACACGGAGATGATAACCTGGCCACCGTCGTCGTTCTCCTGAGAGTCTCGTGTGCAAACCTGGACCCGCTGCTGCTTTGCGAGCCGGAGGCGACGCTTTCGCAGCGCGAATAGCGCGCCGCCGAGGCAGAGGAGCCCCGCCACGACGGCGCCGATGGTGGCGCCGACAATCGCGGCAGCGTCGGAGGGATCAACGTCGCCGCAGCAGGCGTTGATCAAGGTTTGAATGGTAGGGGTCGAAGGCGGCGGCGGAGGAAGCGGCGGTGGCAGCGATGACGGCGGCGGCGGCAGCGGCGGCGGGGCGAGCGGCGGCGGCGACGGCGGCGGCGGCGATGGCAGCGGCGGCGACGGCGGCGGCGGCGATGGCAGCGGTGGCGACGGCGGTGATGTAAGCGGCGACGGCGGCGGCGGCGGCGATGGCGGCGGCGGCGGCAGCGACGGCGGGGCGGTGGCCGCGCATTCAGCCTTAACCTTCGCGCAGAAATACCGGCTGTCGCCGTCAGTCGTGTCGATGGTGGTAACGGGATACGCGGCAGAAGACTGCCCACCTGTCCCTGCCGGTCCGCCGAACTCGGTCACGTGCTTGTAGCATCCTCTGCCCGACGACCACACGCTGTAGCCAGTGCAAGTGTAGTCCAGCAAGCAGTTGTCGATACACTGGCGTTCCATCCACGTACTCTCGTAGGCATACCGGGGATAGTCACCCGCGCTATCCTGGCAAAAGCCAACCGTCCGATTGAAACAGGGGAGCGGCGGCGTGGTCGGAGGCAGCGTGGGCGGCGGCAGCGAGGGCGGCGAGGGCATCGGCATGTACACGCCAGAAATGCCAGCGATTGCAATTGAGACGCCTTTGGATCGAAGATCCCACAACCAAAAAAAGAAAAGCGACGGGTTCTGGCGGAACTACGGGCGATCGGCCTGTCGCTCGCAGCGCGAGAGGTGCGGGGACTGGCCAAGCGGCTAGTTGGCTCGACGGAACTTCCGGGCGAGTGTTCCGGTGGCAGGGGGAGGACTACCTTGTCAACGACATTGCGCCAGGACGGACACCGATGGGAGGGCAGGCGCTGATGGCGTACGCCTGCTGTGTGAAGAGACGGGTGGCGTCGGCGGGCCCGCTGTCCGAACACAACTCAGCCTTTGATATTCGGTCGGTGCGGGATCGGATCGAGAGAGAACGGGTGGGGGGGGAGGCGGCGCGGCTGCTGCACAACTTACAACCCAGTGTGGAACCAGGGGAGGGAGAGATGAGACCGGCGGCGAGTCCAGGCCCCGCCCCCCTCCCTCCTTGTGGGGAAGCAAGGCCTAGGTCCCCCCCCCCCCCCCGGAGTGCGACAGACGATCGACGCGTGGAGCCGCGGTTGGAACGGCCGCAGGGTCAAGGGGCCACCCCCGGGGCTCCACACCAGGCGTTGCGGCCGCCAGAACCGCCACCATACCCGCCCCCCCCGCCGCCTTCGCCCCCGCCGCCGGCGTGGCCGTCACTGCTCGGGCCCGCACGGAACCTGGGGAACCCAGAGCCGCTCCGCCGGAGGCTGGAGTACCTGGGGGAGGGGGCTGGGGGAGGGGAGGTGCCGCAAGACGACAGCGGGTCCGCCGGCGAACCGGAAGGCTGAGACCGGAGGGCCCCAGGTGGGGCTTGGGGTCAGCTATCGGAGGAGGCGAGAGACAAGCTGACTCGACCTCTGCGAGTGGAGTCGGGACATACGGCCTCGCCGGGCGGGGGTAGACCCGTCGAGGCGGCACCCGGACCATCGGGAGCTACGACAAGGAGGGCCACGCCTCCCCGAGCGCAATGGGGAGTCGGTGGGTGGGTGGGGTGGGGGGGTGGGATTGGGGGGGGGGGGGGAGCCGAGTACGATAGAGAGGCCACGGATGCGGGCGCGATTCGTCGACCAGGGAGAGCTGGCCCGACCCCCCGGGGAGGGGAGGCGACACGACCCAATGCCGCCGCCCTCGCCCGGGGAGCCCCAGCCGGGCTGTCGGCTCCCTCGGGGCCAATGGGGCTAGCCGATGGAGGTGGGGCGGAGAGGCCGCCTCCGAAGAAGAGGCATCAGAAACGACTGCAGAGGCAGTCGCGGGGCGGCGCTAGAGGAGGAGGCGGGGTGAGACGGAGGCGAGGGTGAGAACGACTCGAATTGCAGGCGGTTTAGGATTGCGAGGGACGCAACGTGATTTTGGAATTGAACAGACGCTCAGAGTGTCCGTTATCGTCGCTCCCAGCTCGAGAGATGTTCGGTTTAGAGCTCTCTGACGGTCTGACTTTGCGGAGTCCCCGGAGAGTCCGGTGGGCTCGCTCTAGCTAGTAGCTTGCGATCGCGGTACCTCCCGGACACTCTGGTGCCTCGAGCGGCGCCCCCGACGGCGGGAGCAGCGTCGGCTTGCGGGATCCGGGAGCCACAGCGCGCGCGAGCGTGTGTCTCCGGCGCCGGCAGCGCGGTTTTCCCGGACCCGCACGCAGTCGCAGAGCCTCGGCCCTCGCCGAACGCGCGACATCCCCGCTCGTGGCTTTGTATTATGTACATTCGGTGACGGCGTGTCCGACCTGAGATAGGAGCGCGACCTGTCGCTTGGGACGCACTCGACTGTCGCGGACTGTGCAGCAAGCAAAGGCCAGGGCGCGCGGGCTACGCCTTTCGATGGTCTAGTCGGCTGCGCGACGGCGTGCCCGTGGCGCGAGGCGGCCTCCTCGGGCGTGCCGACGGGCGGCACTGCAGCGCGGGAGGCGCCGTAGGAGGAGAGGAGCTTGGCGACCTCGAGGTGGCCCTGCCGGCACGCGATGTACAGCGGCGTGGCGCCGCCCTCTTTTGGCTTAATTTACCGCCGCGTAATCCCACTGCTTCCCGCGCATGCCGCCTCCTCGTCCCTCTCCTCGGCCTGCGCGCGGGTGGAGCGTCTCACTCATGGCTTCTGACTCCACGCGCAGTGCTCACGGCGCGCGACGCGCAGCGGTGTGTGTGGCGTGGGCACCTCCGCGACCTCTGCCGCCGTCCGCGTGCATGGCATCAACTCTTTCCAAACGGCCTCGCGGGAGTGGCCGGCGTGATGCTCATCGCAAACCTCTCGACCGCCTCCAGCATCGCGTCCCTGAGCAGCGAGCGGCCGGGGGGGAGCATCCGCCACGTGCTCTCAAAGTCCTTCACCGCGAATGTCACCTCGGGCAGATCCGCACACTCGGGAAGAGGCCGCAGACGCACTCCCATCACCGCCTGCGAGCCGCCGACCATGCACGGGCCTTTTCCGACGACGACGTGTGGGTGGTCCGCGTAGTCGAGGTTGCTCGCGCGGACGCGGGTGGCGAGGAAGACGAGCCGGCCGATCCTACACTCCTTCCGCCTTGAGCCCGAGTTATGCCTTCAGAAAGGCGGGTGGAATCCCTGTCGTCTTGAGATAGGGCCGAGGGCGGCGGCAGCGAGGGCGGCGGGGCCGAGGGCGGCGGCAGCGAGGGCGAGCTCACCCGCCGCCCTCCCCACCGACCGCCCTTCCACCGCTGTCACCGCCGCTCGAGCACCGCCGTCGCATCACTCTCTCCCCTCCCTCCCTCCCGCCGCAAGCAGCCCGCCCACCACGGCCCGCCCCCTCGAGGCGCGACGGTGGCTCAATGCGATGGCGTGCTCTCTGGCGACCTTCGAGGTCGACATGGAGACGGGGCAGCGCAAGCCCGACCTCACCTCCCTCGGCACGGAGGGAAGGCAAATGGCACGGGCCCGACGGCTTTATTTGCGACCGCTCCGGCCAGCATCGGCGAGAAGCGCTCGACGATTCCTCCCCATGTTTGTGCTTGCGCTCGCTCCACGTGCCGAAGAGAGAACGGTCAAGTCGCCGCGCACGTACACCTCGAAGGGCGATGCGGGCGTCCTTGTCCCCGCAGATGGCGGCGTAGATTTGCTGGCACGCCCGAGGAACGGCGGTATACTCTTTTTCGAGCAGCTGCTGCGCCCTCACGTAGCTATCCGCCGCAAAGGCCTGCAAGGCGACATCCGTTGGTGGCCCAACACCGGAGCAACACTTGGCGTCGTCGAAGCCGCCAGAAATGAAGAAATCTTGCGCGATTTCCCTATTGTTTCTTTTTCTTCCATGTCTACTTGCCTAGCGTCCGCTGGGCTCTCCTCGAGAAAGCGCGAATATCTCTGTACTGCGATCCCAATAAAAAAGAAAACGGGCGCCCCGCAAGAAGAGAGCGGGTAAAGGCAAGAAGAGCGCCGGCGCGCAAAATACCGCCTGAGGGGTTCGAACCCTCGACCCCCGCTTTAGGAGAGCGGCGCTCTGTCCACTGAGCTAAGGCGGCAGTAAAGTGGATCTCGACCCAGCAGCCACTCGAATCGCACGAAGTCGATCGAGCGAACACGCCGTGTCGTGATTGTGCCAACCAGACGTGGAACAAGCAGCGCGCCTGCCTATAAAGGTAAAAAGTGCTTTTTTTTTTTGATTTGGGGTCGTCATATTGGTGCAGCCGGCCCAGTCGACTAATATTTTTGAGAAAAATAAATTTGATGATGAAGGTGTGGATGGGATGTGTGTTATGTTGTGGTGTTGTGGTTGGGATGGAGAAGTTGTAGATGTGTGAAAGGTGAAGAACGAATAATAGTTGGACGTGTGCGTGTAGGATATTCATCCATTGGGCGGGCATGACGTACCGACGGCTAAGGCCGAGTAGCCGGTGTTCACAGAGCTCTGTGAACAAGAGATTTCACAGAGATTTCACGTTGTAGAGCGCCTCTACAACTACATCGCTCTACAACGCAGGCGCCTCGTCACGCGGCGGATGTAGAGCTCTACAGCTCTACAGCGCTCTCCAGCGACCAGCGCTCTACATCTTGAGCACTTGAGCACTGGATAGGGCCGATTCCGCGTGGTACGGGACCCCTCGATCGTCTCGCCCTCCCTCACTGGTATGTTCATTGGGGGGGGTCATAACAAACACGGTACAGGATCGAGGTGCACGCTGCCGAAGCAGTGTCGTCCCCTCTCTCCCCAACGGCGATGGCGGTGTGACCGATCGAGCTACAAGAGGAGCTTGTTCAGCAGGATCCGGGACAGGTCTGGTGCACTACCTCACTGGGCCTGAGATCACCGAGACAGCGCCCGTCACCGTCTCGGGTTTGCGTGGGGTCGAACCACTCCGGGATGGGCAAGCCCATCGATCTTCGACGTCTGCACGCGGCCGGCCGGGCGAGAGGCTTGACACGATCCGACCCTGCGACCCTGACGCTGCTGCTCTAGCTATCAGCCATGCACTGCTGACTGCTGCCACAATGTGCGACCTGTGCTGGCCCACTTGGCGGCCTTCCCGGTCAGTGGTGAGGCGCAGTTCAGAGCTGTCGATGGCGCGATGCCGCACTGGTCCCACATTGGTGACACGAGACCACCAAGTTTGCCGGTCCAAGAGAGAGGCACCGGCGCTGTCCTGAGAAGGTGCGTGGTCCCTCTTGACTGCCCATGCGCGCGAGGCTGTGTAGGCATAGCCTCGAGAGTGCCAGCAGCCCATCCGAGGTGACGCGCATTGCGCCAGAAGCGTGCACGCAGCTGGAAGGACACCTTCCTACTGGCCGTACGATCAGGTCGTCACTGAATGCTTTAATACTAAGGCCGCGAGCTATGCAGGTGATCAATTGTGCATCATGGCACGGTCAGCAGCTGCGCCGACAGGCTGTCGCAAGGCGTGATAGCATGGCCGCAAGTACGCCGAATTCCCATGAAAACAAGTAAAAAATCGAAAAAAGAAAAAAACCCAAAAAATCGGCGCCTGCGGCGGGCCATGGGACCCCATCTCCCCCCCGCATGGACACCCTCTGGGCCCCCCGCGCCGGCCCAGAGGCAGCCTGACACACCGGCGTTGCGCTGGCGTCACTATAGTTGACGGTCACTAAGGTGTGGATATCATCGGCGCATCGTCACATGGTCTGTGCCTATGGCCCTTGGCCGGCGCCACCCTTTGCGCTGCCGGCCGCTGCCCGCTCGCCCCCTCCCCTCGAGCCCCTCTGGGACACGCTCTCTCTCTCTCTCTCTCTCTCTCTCTCTCTCTCTCTCTCTCTCTCTCTCTCTCTCCCTCCCTCCCTCCCTCTCTCTCTCTCTCTCGTCACGCCTCGCGCGGCAGCACCTCTGCCCACCCCTCCTCGAGCGACGGCCCCGCGTCGCCTTGCAGCGGCGGGCCCGACTGCAGCGCCTGCCAGACGTAGCCGGAGGCGACCTCTTTCTTGGAGAGGCGGTGGAGGATCTGGCGGCGCACACGCCGCGTGGTCGCCCACACCGCGTCCACCACCACCAGCGGCACCTTCTCCTCCATCGCCCGCCACACCTCGCCCAGCGTGTCCGACTCGCCTACCGGGAACGTTCCGAGACGCCTCCGGGGGGCGCACCCCCTCCGCCGCCGCCGCCCCTCAGAGAGCTGCTCACCGCGCGCGCGGCACTCGGCCTCGCTCAGCGGCCGCACGAGCTCGAGGCAGGCCTAGACCGGCGCCACACACACTCCGCCTCAAGAAGAGGAGGGCGGGCAAGGGTCCGCACTACCGGCCCGAGGGGCGACCACCGTGTTTGCGAGGAGAGCGGGGTGCGCGTCGAGGAGGTCGACTAGCGGCCGCCCGTCGGCCTCGGTCAGCTTCTTCTCGCCGCCGCCGCCAAAGAGGACCAGAAGCCTGCGGGCCGCGGGAAAGGCTCAGCGGAGGCTTGGCGAAGGCTCAAGGAAGGCTCAAGGAAGGCCCAGGGAAGGCTCAAGGGGATGCACGTGGCTGAGGCTGGAACGACAGCCCCCCCCCCCCCCCTTCCTCTCGCGGGGATACACTGGCGACGAGTGCAGCGGCTGCAGCGCGAGGGAAGTCTTGAGTCGTGACGCGCGAGGTGAGCATGTGTACGAGACGCGAGGGTGTCTCGAGCGCAGGTGTACGAGGCGCCTGCGCGGAGGCAGCGCCGCGTCTGTCCTGCGCCACTCCTCCTCCTCCTCCCGCTCCGCAGCCTCCTGCAGCGTCTCGTCGCCTTCGGGGGCGAAGCCGCCCCCCGCCGCGCCTCCTCCAGCCACGAAGGCCGCCCCCGCGGCCGGCCAGTGCGCCGCGACTAGCCGGCCGGTGCGCGTGCTGTTCGAGAAGGGCGCGTCGAGGGCCTGCGGTGGCGCGATCTCGGGTAATCTCGTCAATGGGGGAGGGGGGCAGAGCGACGGAGCAGAGCGAGGGAGCAGAGCGACGGAGCAGAGAGAGAGAGAGGGAGCAGGGCGACGGAGCAGAGGCAGCAGCGAGGCGCCTCTGTTGCGGCCGACTCCTCGAGCGCAGAGAGCTTGACGACGCGGCCGGGCAGGTCGAAGGCGCCAGGCGGGAGCGGGTGCACGTCCGGGTGCGACCTCTCCGCCTCGGCCCGGTCCTCCTGCAGCATGTTGTGCAGCGCGGGCGTGTCGTGCACGCTCGCCCACTCCTCGGTCGAGTTTGGGGGCGCGCTGCCGATGGCGGGCAGCGGGCACGACCCGACGCCGCCGCCCCGCAGGTCGAGCTCCTCGTCCGACCCCTCGTCCGAGCCCGCCTCCACCCAGTCCGCCTCGCGCGGCCTCTTCCCGCCCGGAGGACCACTGGGCGGCGGCGGTGGCGGGCGCATCCCGGAAGGCGGCCCGCCGGGCGGCGGCGGCGGCGGAATGCCGCTGGCGAGCCGCACTTCCGCCTCAGACATGCCGACCGCCGCCGGCGCGTCCGCGGCGGCGGAGTCCCCAGACTCGAAGCCGGGCAGTGAGCCGAAGCGGTCGTACGGATCGGCGCCTGCGGGAGGGCCTCCCGGCGGCGGTGGCGGAGGGATGCTGAGGCGGGACTGCGACGGGATGAGCGAGCCGCTCTGCTGCATGCTCTCGCGGGCCTCCTTGTTCAGCTCCGAGGGCTTAAAGGGGGCGAAGCCCGACATCGCCCTCTCGTGTCAGTGTGCTGTGAGAGAGGTACTCGGCACAAGCGCACAAGAGCTGCCTCTCCTCCGGGCGCCTGCAACCCTCCGGGTCTTGCTACGAAATCAGGTGTATATTATTTTTGCGTGGGGCGGACATCATGCCGGGGTAGGTAGGTAGGGTCTGGGCCCTCCCGTCGGGTTTTTCCCTCTCTTCACGCTGGAATTTTCACAGCAGAAAAAGAAATTTTCCCCGGAAATCACGATGTCAACCCTCCCCAAATGGGTGATCTGATGCTTGTAGGGCTTGAGAGTGGCCTGCCATGTCACAGGAAGGACTGTGGTTGCAGGATAGTACCACCAACCATCACTCTAGTTGGTATAGTACCCCACCTTCACCCATCCTGTGATTTCTTTTTTAGTTTCCCATAAGTAAGGTAGGTAGGTAGGTAGGTAGGTAGGGGCACCGCAGCGGCCGGTCAGGTTTTTCCAGAATTTCAGCATGATGTCCGCCCCACGCAAAAATAAACGCCACCTGACGAAATCTGAGTTTCTCGTTTTGCCCCGCCAGAATCGCTTGAAGAGTAAAAAAATTTAGAAAAAATCTTTGCAGTCGACGCGTACGACGCTGCGGCGCAGCAAGGGCCAGCGGAGAGCAACCAAATGCAGGCCTCTGGGCAGAAGCGCAAGCTGGACGTGGGTGATACCAGGCGTGCCGCCCGCCCCGCCGCCGCTCCCCGCGACCGCCCGATCCCGCGACCGCCGCGACCGCCGCAACGCCGCCCGCTCACCCGCCGCGCACGCTTGTAGCGGCCTGATGGCCTCGACGGCTTCCGGCACGGGCGTCAACCCATACACGAACCGGCCGTACTCGAGGCGGTTCTACGAGATCCTCGAGACGCGCAAGCGGCTGCCCGTGTGGGAGCAGAAGGACGAGTTTTTCGAGATGATGCGCAAGAACCAGACGATGGTGCTGGTTGGCGAGACGGGCTCGGGAAAGACGACGCAGATCCCGTCGTTCATGGTGGACACGGGCGTCACGCGCGGCAAGCGCATGGTCGCGTGCACCCAGCCGCGCCGCGTCGCCGCGATGTCGGTGTCCAAGTGCGCCGCCGCTGCGGCTTCTCCCGCTCTCCTGCTCTCCCGCTCTCACGCTCTCACGCTCTCACGCTCTCACGCTCACGCTCTCACGCTGTCCCGCTGTCCCGCTGTCCCGCTGTCCCGCTGTCCCGCTGTCCCGCTGTCCCGCTGTCCCGCTCCCCTTCAGCTGAGGCGACGCATCCTCGCGCCGCGCAGGCGCGTCGCCGAGGAGATGGACGTCGAGCTCGGCGAGGAGGTTCGCCGCCGCTGCAGCATTAGCAGCAGCCGCAGCAGCGGGAGCAGCAGCAGCGGCGGTAGCGGCAGCGGCAGCAGTGGCGGCAACGGCAGCAGTGGCGGCAACGGCAGCAGCCAGCAGCGGTGGTGGTGGTGATGGCGGCGGTGGCGGCGGTGGCGGCGGTGGCGGTGGTGGCAGCGGTTGCGAGTGACCAGAGCAGCAGCCAGCGATGGCCAGAGATTGCCAGAGATGGGAGCCTCGTTGATGTGTCTGATAGCGGCCGGTTCGAGACGTGAGGACGGGGTGGGGTCCCACAGGTGTTTGTTGTTCACAGGTGGGGTACACCATCCGGTTCGAGGACATGACGGGCACAAAGACGATCCTCAAGTACATGACCGACGGCATGCTGCTGCGCGAGGCGAGATGCCACGCTCAGACCGCTCGCCCACCGGGCCTTGTGTGTGATGTGAGAGGAGGCCACCCCGTCTACTAGGCGATGGCGGACCCGCTGCTCGAGCGGTGTGCAGACTCGAGATGAGAAGGGGGGGGGGGGGCACATGACTCGTGAGACCGCCGCTCGAGCGGTGTGGAGAGGACTCACAGAACCGACTCGCAACAGTCTTCCACCCCAGCCGCGGCTGTGCGTCCAGGTACGCAGCCGTGATCCTAGTGAGTGAGCTAGTACTTAACTCGTACTTAGCGATTATAGGTACGCAGCCGTGATCCTAGACGAGGCGCACGAGCGTACTCTCTCGACCGACATTCTCTTCGGCGCCGCCGAGGAGGCCCCGGGCTCCTCCCGCCCGAGAGAGACGCGAGATCACGCGAGATTGTGCCGGCCTGCTAGGCCTCATCAAGGAGGTCGCCATCCAGCGGCCAGACCTCAAGCTCGTGGTCATGTCCGCCACACCCCAGAAGCGGAATACGTGTTCTTGTATTCAGCCGTTTTCGGTGGTATTCCGCTGTATCCACTGTATTCGCAGCCCCCCGTATTCACGCGGTGCTCTCAACACACTGCACAAGACCGTCTTCCCACCCCGATGTTTGCGTATCCGCACGTAGGTCCGCCACACTCGACGCGGGCAAGTTCCAGGCCTACTTCGACGCGCCGCTCATGAAGGCGCCCGACCCCGGCCGGCCGGCGGGGGGGGCTTGGGGCGGGGGGGGGGCTTGGGGCGGGGGGACTGCCACCCTCTCTCGCCCTCCTCCACGCCCACTGGAGAGAGAGGCGAAGAGCAGTCCGACTCGACACCCCGGTACGAGACCGGAGTCTCCCCCCCTCTCTCTCTCCCAGGTGCCGGGCCGGCTCCACCCGGTCGAGATCTTTTACACGCCGGAGCCGGAGCGAGACTACCTCGAGGCCGCCACCCGGACGGCGTGCAGGGGCGCCAGGACACGCCCATGCCATGTCCGAGACATGTCCCGTAGGCGGCCATCCGGACGGTGGTGCAGGTCCACCTCTGCGAGGGGGAGGGGGACATCCTCGTCTTTTTGACGGGCGAGCAGGAGATCGAGGACGCGTGCCGCAAGACCAAGCAGGAGGTGGACAACTTGGGAGACCAGGTGCCCGCAGCAGCAGTAGCAGTAGGAGCAGCAGCAGCAGCAGCAGCAGCAGCAGTAGCAGTAGCAGTAGTAGTAGTAGTAGCAGCAGTAGCAGCAGCAGCAGCAGCAGCAGCAATAGTAGCAGTAGCAGTAGGAGCAGCAGCACGCAGGAGGATGTTCCGTCTTCCAACACAGGTTCCCGACGTGCTCGTGCTCCCCCTCTACTCGACGCTGCCGATGGACCGCCAGCGACAGATCTTCGACCCGCCGCCGCCGCCGCGCAAGCCGGGCGACCCGATGGGCCGGAAGATCATCTTCTCGACAAACATCGCCGAGACGTCCCTCACCATCGACGGCATCGTGTACGTCGTCGACCCGGGCTTCGCGAAGCAAAAGGTGTACAACCCGCGCATCCGGGTCGAGTCGCTGCTCGTCTCGCCAATCTCAAAGGCGTCGGCGCACCAGCGCGCCGGCCGCGCCGGCCGCACCAAGCCGGGCAAGTGTTTCCGCCTCTACACGGAGGTTGCGTACAAGACGGAGCTGATGGAGCAGACGTACCCCGAGATCCTGCGTTCGAACCTCGGCTCGGTCGTGCTGCAGCTCGAGAAGCTCTCCACCGATCGAAATCAGTTCATTAAGAGTAGTCTGCCCATGAATTAGGTCGTGCTGCAGCTCAAGAAGCTCGGCATCGAGGCGCGCGCCCCCCGCCCCGCCTCTCCCCCTCCACGCGCCGCCATGCGCCGCCACGCGCCGCCACGCGCCGCCACGCCACCCCACGCCACCCCACGCCACCCCACGCCACCCCACTCCACCCCACGCCGCCCCACTCCACCCCACGCCACCCCACGCCACCCCACTCCACCCCACACCACCCCACGCCACCCCACGCCGCCCCACTCCACCCCACGCCACCCCACGCCACCCCACGCCACCCCACGCCACCCCACGCCACCCCACGCCACCCCACTCCACCCCACGCCACCCCACGCCACCCCACGCCACCCCACTCCACCCCACTCCATCCCACGCCACCCCACGCCGCCCCACGCCACCCCACGCCACCCCACTCCACCCCACTCCACCCTCCTCAGGACCTGGTGCACTTTGACTTTATGGACCCGCCCGCGCCCGAGACGCTCATGCGCGCGCTCGAGCTGCTCAACTACCTCGGCGCCCTCGACGACGAGGGCGCGCTCACCGAGCTCGGCTCGATGATGGCCGAGTTCCCGCTCGACCCGCAGCTGGCAAAGATGCTCCTCTACTCGCTCGAGCTCACCCGAGATTGCCCGAGATTACCCGCAGGCCACTGCCCGCAGGCAAAGATGCTCCTCTACTCGCCGCAGCTCTCGTGCTCGAACGAGATCCTCTCCGTCGTCTCGATGCTCAACACACCCAACCCGTTCATGCGGCCCCGCGAGGCGGCCAAGGCGGCCGACGAGGCCAAGGCGCGCTTCCAGCACGTCGACGGCGACCACCTGACTCTGCTCAACGTATACCACGCGTGGAAGAACAACCAGGCGCCGGCCTCGCGGCGCAAGAGGGAGGAGGGCGGATCCTTCTCGCAACCCCACGCTCGAGAATAGGAGTCCGCCTCGTGGTGCTACGACAACTTCCTCAACGCGCGCTCGATGAAGTCGGCTGACTCCATCCGCGCGCAGCTGATGCGCGTGATGAACCGCTTCGGTCTCGAGCTCAAGTCGCCAGACTTCAACTCGAAGGAGTACTACACCAACATCCGGAAGTGCCTGCTCGCCGGCTTCTTCATGCAGGTGGCGCACCTCGAGCGCACCGGCCACTACCTCACCGTCAAGGACAACCAGGCGGTCGCGCCTCGCCGGTCTAATTCTTAGTGAATGGATCAATCAATCAATCATGAGAACGCGTTTGACACGACCAGGTGGTCGCGCTGCACCCGTCCACCGTGCTGCAGCACAAGCCCGAGTGGTGCGTGTACAACGAGTTTGTGCTCACCTCCAAGAACTACATCCGGATGGTGTCCGACATCAAGGGCGATTGGCTGATCGAGCTCGCGCCGCACTACTACGACCTCAAGAACTTCCCCAGCTGCGAGGCCAAGCGGACGCTGGAGCGCATCTACCTCAAGAAGGGAAGAGCAGCGTAGAGGCCTCTGCTGCCTCCTCCCCCTCCCCGGCGCCGATGCTTCACGCCGAAGCGCCGCGTCTCTGGGTGGCTCGGGCTTTGCGCTCCCCCGGAGAGCGCGGGATTCGCGGTCGACAAGACTGCGGTACCCATCATCAGGTGGCCGTAGGGTACGAAAAACATGGTGAGTGAGGTGTGGCACGGCTACTACGTATCTGTTCTGTAAGAGTCTGTGCCATGCGAAAGCGAAACCTGACATTGACATTGATGATTGTCAAACGAGACACGCACTTTCAAGCTCGCGCGCCCCGCCGAGGCCGGGCCGCGGGCGCGGGCCCGGCGGGGGAAGCGGAGAACGCACGACGGCCGGCGCGCGGCGCGGCGAGGCGCGATGCGGAGGCCCGCAACGCCGGCACGGTGGTCGGTGGTCTCGGCACGAACTCTCGGGACTCTCCGGGCCCCAGAGCGATGCAGCAAAAAAAAACGCGCAGTCTCCGCGCTGTCAAACGGCTCACTCTCAACTCATGAACGTCTCAGTCTCGCTCTCGTCCATCTCACGCTCACGCCTCCAGTCCTGCAGCTTCCGCTGATCCATTGCCCAGCTTTTGAAATTGCTCAATCTCTGCTGTCGGTCAAGGCGACCTTGGACCCGCGCACGTAAGGCACGTTCCGCTGCCGCCTCGGGCTCGGGGAGAGGGACAACCACCAAAGCCGGCACCTCCGATTTGTGCAGTCCAAAATCACGGATGTCCTGCTCAGCACTTGTGGTCACCGAGTCCTTCGCCCCGAGAGCAGCCCTGAGCGCAAACCTCAGCAAGAAAAGCGGCTCGGTGGCACTATCGGAAGGACGCGCAAAGCAAACAACGGAATGCTCCAGCTCTGGCGCGTAATCAAACTGCATACTCGTGCCCTTTCCTCCTTCTGCCGGTGCGAGGAGCGCAAGCAGCTTTCCTGTGCTCTGAAATACCCGCACTTCCGAGGCCGAGGCGACCAGCGCAGCTTGCAGCCGGTCGTCCCAGCCAAGCCAACAATGAAAGTGTGCGGGAGGGAGCTGGACCCGAAAGAGAAGCTCGACGTCATCTTGACAATGTAAAGAGCCATCAGCGGCGAGAGTCAGAAGCCTCCGGCTGCCAGAGAAGGCGAGATGGGTCACTCCCGCCTTGTGGCTCGTCGACTCGTGTTTGATGGTCCGTAGGCACGAATCCCACACAACCACCTTGCCACTCTCCAGGCCCGCCGCGAAGAGAGTCTGCGAAGCGGGAGGTTGCGGGGAGGCGGCTCAAGCGGCGCTCGACGCCGGCCTATCGACCGAGGCGGCGGATGCGGCGGGCAAGGCGGCGGGCGATGCGATCATCGCCGGCAAGTCGCCAGAGGTAGCGGCGGCCGCGGGTGAGGCTGCGGGCAAGGCGGCTCAAAAGGCGCTGGATGCCGGCCTCTCGCCGGACGCAGTCGATGCGGCTGGCGAGGCGGCAGGCGAGGCTATCCTTGCGGGCAAGAGCCCCGAGGTTGCGGCCGCCGCTGGCGAGGCTGCCGGCAAGGCGGCTCAGAAAGCACTCGATGACGGCTTGTCACCTGATGCTGCCGACGCGGCGGGCGAAGCTGCGGGCGCGGCGATCATTGCGGGCAAGACGGCCGCGGAGGCAGCCGCTGCTGGCGAGGCTGCGAGCAAGGCGGCCCAGAAGGCGCTCGACGACGGCTTGTCACCGGATGCTGCCGATGCGGCGGGCAAGGTGGCGGGCGACGCCATCATCGCAGGCTACACGCCCGAGCAGGCAGCGGCGGCCGGCGAGGCGGCGGGCAAGGCGGCCCAGAAGGCGCTCGACGACGGCTTGTCACCGGATGCTGCCGATGCGGCGGGCAAGGTGGCGGGCGACGCCATCATCGCAGGCTACACGCCCGAGCAGGCAGCGGCGGCCGGCGAGGCGGCGGGCAAGGCGGCCCAGAAGGCGCTCGATGCCGGCCTGTCGCCGGAAGCGGCTGATGCGGCTGGCGAGGCGGCAGGCGAGGCTGTCCTCGCTGGCAAGTCGCCCGAGGAGGCGGCTGCTGCGGGCGAGGCTGCCGGCACGGCGGCCCAGAAGGCTCTCGATGACGGCTTGTCGCCCGAGGCAGCTGCGGCCGCGGGTGAGGCGGCGGGTGACGCCATCATCGCCGGCAAGAGCCCCGAGGTGGCGGCCGCTGCTGGAGAGGCTGCCGGCAAGGCGGCTCAAAAGGCGCTCGACGCCGGCCTGTCGACAGAGGCGGCGGATGCGGCTGGTGAGGCGGCAGGCAAGGCTATCATCGCAGGCAAGTCGCCCGAGGTGGCTGCGGCCGCTGGCGACGCTGCCGGCAAGGCGGCCCAGAAGGCGCTCGACGATGGCTTGTCGCCCGAGGCTGTCGATGCGGCAGGCGAGTCGGCGGGCGACGCCATCATCGCCGGCAAGAGCGCCGAGGTGGCGGCGGCCGCGGGTGAGGCTGCGGGCAAGGCGGCTCAAGCGGCGCTCGACGCCGGCCTATCGACCGAGGCGGCGGATGCGGCGGGCAAGGCGGCGGGCGATGCGATCATCGCCGGCAAGTCGCCAGAGGTAGCGGCGGCCGCGGGCGAGGCTGCGGGCAAGGCGGCTCAAAAGGCGCTGGATGCCGGCCTGTCGCCGGAAGCGGCTGATGCGGCTGGCGAGGCGGCAGGCGAGGCTGTCCTCGCTGGCAAGTCGCCCGAGGAGGCGGCTGCTGCGGGCGAGGCTGCCGGCACGGCGGCCCAGAAGGCTCTCGATGACGGCTTGTCACCCGAAGCCGCGCCGCCCTTCACCTCGCCCTCGCCGCCGCCACCAGCCCCGCCGCCGACCGCCCCTCCGCCACCCTCGCCGCCGCCGCCCTCCACCTCGCCCTCGCCGCCGCCACCAGCCCCGCCGCCAACCGCCCCTCCGCCGCCCTCGCCGCCGCCGCCCTCCACCTCGCCCTCACCGCCGCCACCAGCCCCGCCGCCAACCGCCCCTCCGCCGCCCTC